CATGGAATCTTTCAGGAAGAAAATAATTTGATATAAAATAGGAATGTATCCTCCATTACCTTTCATTAGGTAGGGCTTGAAAATGACTGGGTTCTTAACCAAAATTTCAATGACAGGTAAAATTGGCAAGGAATCAATAAAATTTTATATACTGCAAAATTCTAAGATGGGGCAGAGCTTTTCCAAATCCTGGTCTGTTCATTTTATCATTTGAAACCTCACCAAATCTCAGTTTCTTCACCTGTGAAATGGGGAAAATGTTACAATAAGCTTATCTATTTTATGAGTATGAAATGAGATAATAATTGTAAAGTATGTATCACAGAAAATACCCAATACATGAAGATGGTGTGACATTTATTATTTTTTTTACCACAGGCTTCCATAAGTAGTTCTTAGATCCTCTAAGAAATAATCCTTTACTTTTAGAGACCTAGAGTTAAATGGACGAAATACCAAGGAGCACCAGGAATGTGATTCAAGCAAAAGTTTCTTTAAAAAAGAGTAGTTTCATTAAAATTAGTATAATATTTAGCCATTCAGGAAATAATATGAAATAAATCTGTATATTTTAATGAGCACATAACCCCATCAGGAATTCAGAAGAAATAGACTGAGGAAAATCCAAAACCAGACTGCTATTCAAGTAAGAGAGTATCATTTACAGGGTTTTACTCTAGAGAGGATCTGATTCAAACCAAAGGTCTTCAGTTGCTGAAGTGCATATCTTGTGTAGCTGCATAGCATTTGATGGTTTTTGAAAAACACTTGTTTGAAAGAAAGTGGTACATTTCCTACTTGGTTTATGTCACCTCTTGTCCAAAACACCTGCATTTGACTTTGGTTTTGAAACCAATGTCTTTTCATGCCTTTCTAAGCTCTTCCTAGCTTATTTTTAACCTTAACCATGATTCATCCATTCTTGCATTTTTCAAGAAGTTTTTTACTGATACTCAATTATTGCTGTTAACAAATCTATATTGTAGAATAATACCAGGGAATAATAAAAATTATAGAGACCATAACAGAAAAACTAAAAATTCAGAACTCCATTTTCCAGCTATGACAGTGTATCTGCTAGTTGGATAAAATACACTGACATGCAAAATGATTTAAGATATCAGAGAAAAATAGTGGGCAATAATTGAAGAACAGTGATCTTAAACAGAAAAGAAATGTGCTTAAGTGAGTCCTACACTTTTTATTCCTTTCTCCCTGAAGAAGTTAAGGAGTGTAGACTTTGAGACTGAAAAGAAGTAGCTGCTTTGAGTTTGTGGAAGTTTCATTGGCCTGGAAAGAAAATAACTGGAGTTCAGGACTACCTAAACATCAAAATCTGAGAGTATAAGATGCTGGAAAGGAGGAGACTACTGAGAATTGAACTCTGCATCCTGTGTGCGTTTTCTCCTTTGGAGGCATTTTTCAAACTCCAAATGCTCAGGCAAGACAAAAAGAAAAAGAGGTTACCTACAGTATTTATGGATTGAATGACACTATTATTAAGATCTCAATTTTCCCCAGATTGATCTATGTATTCAATGCAATCCCGATATCAGCTAGACTTTTTGTGGAAATTGACAAACTGGTTTTTAAGTATACACGAACATATAAAGGGCCAAGAAGAGCCAAAGCTAAGTTGAAGAACAACAATGTTAAGTATCTTATACTACAAGATACAAAGATTTATTATAAAGCTTCAGTAACTATTAAGTATAATATTGGCTCAGAGATGCACAAAACCAATTGAACAGAATAGAGGATCCAGAAACAGACCCACACACGTTGCATTGCAGTTCAGTGAAGAAAATATGTTCTTTTCAATAAATGGTTTTGGATCAATTGGGTGTACAGATAGGGGAAAAATGAAACTTGACCCCTAACTCCCATCATTCATAAAATAAATTCCAGGTGTATCATAATCATAAAAGTCAATGTTAAAACAATGGAACTTCTAGAAGATATGAGAGGATATCATCATGACTTTGGAGTAGGCAATGATTTCATTAAAACCATTAAAAATAGTTTAAGAGAAAATATTACTGATAAATTAGTTCATTAAAATTGAGAACTTCTCATAAAAAAAGATTTTTAAAGTTGAAAACTCAAGCCACAGAATGGGAGAGGTTATTTTCAATATGTCCATCCAATATAGGACTTATATCCAGACATATAAAGAACTTGTACAAATCAACACAGAAAGAATTGCCAGCAAATTGAAACTTTGTTAAAATATGTGAACAGGGACTTCATAAAGGAAAATATAATTAGCTGAATATTTGTGTGTACTTCAAAATTCATATGTTGAAGATTGACCCCCCCCCAATATGACTGTATTTGTGGAGATAAGACCTGTAGAGAGGCAAGTAAGATAAAATTAGGCCATAAGTGTGGGGCCCTAATCTGGTAAGATTAGTGACCTTATAAAAAACACCAGAGAGCTCTCTCTCTTTTGGGCATGAGGACGTAGTGAGAATGTGGCATTTTGCAAGTTAGAAATATGCCCCTCACCAGAAACTGATGATACAGGCACCCTAATATTGGACTTTCTGACTCCTGAACTGTGAGAAAACAAATTTATTTTGCTTAAACCACTCAGTCTGTGGTGTTTTGTTATGGCAGACCAAGCACACTAATACAGAGGATATCCAAATGACCCATAAGCACATGTAGAAAGGCGTTGGACATCATTAGTTATGACTGAAGTAAAAATTAAAAACACAATGAGATAATGTTTTATACTGACCATCGTGTGGGAAAAATTACAATACAAAATGATGAAAAGGATGTGAAGCATCTATAATTCTTGACCACTGCTGATTGGGTTTTAAACTGGTTCAACCACCTTAGAAAAGTGTTTTCCAGTGTCTATTAAAGTTGAAAAGTATGTACCCAAGGTAAACGAGTATGGTCATTAAAATACATAAAACCTGTGAAGGTAAATTAGCAGCATGACTAGTTTATCTATTGCTGGCAGTCACCTTCAGGCAAGTATAATGGTTATCAAATGATTAGCATAAATAAGGTTTTACTAGATTTTATTAATTCACCAATTATAATATTTCTAGACCTAAAGATATGATCCTGATTTCTGAAAGTTACAGAATCTTCTTAGAAATTGATGAATTTGAGGAACACATACAGAAAGATGGGCATGGAAGAGTTAAATAATAACATCCTGCAAGTGGAGGAAGGCTTCATTTCCTTGGTAATTCTATCACCATTAAGAGGCTGATTGTAGGTTAAGAAACCTAAGATTTTGAGCATACTGAGAGAAGCTCCATCATCCGTGGAGACACATTCATATTTACAATAGTTATAAGACTGACACACAAAATCTGACTTCTAAAATATTAGCTTAAAAACAAATTACTGTCACAGAAACCGAAGTGCTCAAACGTGCCAAGAAAAGTGAAATTATTGGCTTGATTGATTGAAACCAAACAAAGGAATTTCATATCTGTTGTTTAATGGCTCAGGCTATAATACCTCTCAATAAATACCTCAACAGCTTTCTCTCCCCCTCCCACTCCTTTTTCCTCCTCCTCCCACTCTTCCTTATCCTTTCACCTCTAAATTCCCTTTGGATTGACGGTCTTTAAATACATTAATGTACTGAAACATGTTAAAGTCAAGTTGCAAGTTGGATGTGTCTGTGTCTTTAAGATTACTGATCTAACCCATTCATTTTATTTTGATGTTGAAAATTATATTTGTCTATTTTTCAAATTTTTAAGGAACCTCCTTTAATATATTGACTGCACTAGTGAAGACGTAAACAAGGACCATGAAGTATTTTTCCCTCCTGTAAGCAACAGGAAGGTCTGTAAATTTCTTCCTGTAGAAGGAGAAGGGGAGCACATGGGCACTTTGAAACAGGTAGGCATTTCATGAAGAGTTCAGATTCAAACATGATTTAATATTTAATCGATAAACATTCTTATGAGAGTATTATGTGCTAGGTACTAGAAACAAGGAGGTTCAGACTTTGGGACATGCTCTATCTGAGTGCTCATGATCTATAGGGGAACAGGAAAGTAATTGCATGGCTCAGTTCCAGACTTACTGTCTAGTAACAGATAAATTCAACTTTATGTAATAAATATAGTGATAGAGAAATGAACAGATATATACAGGAGCATAAGTAAGTTAGATTGCTAACTCTAACTCAAAGATGGAGGATGGGAAGAGTGTTCATACCAGTAAAGGTACAAAACTCAAAGATATAGGAAAGAAAAAGAGGAAGGATATTTGATGGAACAATTTCTCTAAACAGACCCAACTGAAAGTTTGTATAGTCAATGAATGAGGTGGAGATGGGAACATAGATAATAGTGGATGTCTGCACAGAATTTGTAGGTTGGTGGTAAAGGTCTTAGTTGGGTAATATCTCTACATGATAGTTTCTATTATTTTTGTTAAACAGGGGATAGAACCTGTAAGTGAAAGGAAGCTATAATTAGGGAATAGAGGAGAGCCTAGGTAAATTTGAGGACCACAGATTAATAGCATAATCAATATAAAGAATTGAGTGTGCTCCTTCATTGACCATCAGTAGTCCAGATAGAGAGAGGGGAAAAGTTAAGTTATCCAGGGTTGGAATCGCACAAGTCGTGTATAACAGGAGAACAAGGGGAAGGAGGGTGATGACAGGATGGATAGCATGACAGAGAATAGTAGAGAAAAGAGGAATGAAAATTAGAAAGGAGCTAATAGGTTGAAGAAAATTAGGGGGTGTGTGTGTGTGATGTGAGGTGAAGAGGCTGGAAGGCATAATGAGCTAGACAAATGATATCTGCATTTAAATGAATCTCAGCAGTTAGACATACAAATAGAAATAACTATACCAATAGAAATAAATTGTCAGCATTCTTCAGTTAAAAGATAAATTTGGAAAATGGCAGACATAAAGAATAAAGCCATTAAGAGTAGATCAGTTCTGCCCAGGCACTCACCAGAGGACCCCTGGCACCACCGTTCCCCAGCCGGGCAGCGTGGGCGCCATGAACAGTGTGGGACTGAATACGGAGAAGGTATCGGGTCTGCTTCAGAAACTGAGTTCCGACCCTCAGTTCATACTCGCCCAGAATGTCAGGACCACCCACGACCTTGCTGGACATCTCTCTGAAGAGGGCCATGGTACAGGGCAGTCAGCATGTGTTCTAGAATGTTGTACCTCAGGAAGGCAAGCCGGTCACCAACCAGAAGTTCTCAGAGCGATGCTGGATCTTTTCTTCTCTAAATGTTATGAGACTTCCATTCATGAAAAAATTAAATATTGAAGAATTTCAGTTTAGTCAATCATACCTCTTTTTCTGGGGCAAGGTTGAACGGTGTTACTACTACTTAAATGCTTTTGTGGACACAGCCCAGAAAAAGGAGCCTGAGGACGGAAGGCTGGTGCAGTATTTGCTTTCAGATCCTGCAGATGATGGGGGACAATGGGATATGCTTGTCAATATTGTTGAAAAATATGGTGTTGTTCCTAAGAAGTGCTTCCCTGAATCTCATACAACAGAGGCAACCAGAAGGATGAATGATATTCTGAATCACAAGTTGAAAGAATTCTGTATACGCCTGCAGAACCTGGTTCACAGTGGAGTGAGCAAAGGAGAAATCTCAGACATGCAGGATGTCATGATGGAGGAGATATTCCGAGTGGTGTGCATCTGTTTGGGTAATCCACTGGAGACGTTCACCTGGGAGTATCGAGACAAAGATAAAAATTATCACAAGATTGGCCCCATAACTCCCTTGGAGTTTTACCGGGACCACGTCAAGCCTCTCTTCAATATGGAGGATAAGATTTGTTTAGTGAATGACCCTCGGCCCCAGCATAAGTACAACAAACTCTACACAGTGGAATACCTAGGCAATATGGTTAGAGGGAGAAAAACTCTCTATAACAACCAACCCGTTGACTTCTTGAAGAAGATGGTGGCTGCCTCCATCAAAGATGGAGAGGCCGTATGGTTTGGCTGTGATATTAGAAAACACTTGAACGGCAAGCTGGGCCTCAGTGACATGAATGTCTATGACTATGAGTTAGTGTTTGGTATCTCCACGAAGAACATGAATAAAGCAGAGAGGCTAACTTTTGGTGATTCACTCGTGACCCACGCCATGGCCTTCACTGCAGTCTCAGAGAAGGATGATCAGGATGGCATATTCATGAAATGGAGAGTGGAGAATTCATGGGGTGAAGACCATGGCCAAAAAGGTTACCTGTGCATAACTGATGAGTGGTTCTCTGAATATGTCTACGAAGTGGTGGTGGACAAGAAGCATGTTCCCAAAGAGGTGCTAGCTGTGTTCGAGCAGGAAGCTGTTGTCCTGCCAGCCTGGGATCCCATGGGGGCTTTGGCCAAGTGATTGCCTCCAGTTCTTTCCTCCTCCCATGGAACCTGAAGTTGCTGCAAAGGACAGACCCAGGAACTGAAGCCAAAGTTACACATGTGACTGTGTGTTCCCACAGGACATAGTCAGACTCTTGGATTTCTCCTACAGGAACCTCTTGGGGAAGTGTGCTTTATGTCAAAACAAAATATTCTTAAAGAAAATAAAAGGGAAAGATCAGGTCACATTATCTATTCTCCTCACCTCCAACAGCTCAGGATCTCTTAGCGTTTTAATCAGATGTTATTGTGTGTCTCAACTCTGTCAAAAAGGTGTGGTCCGGTGTCTGTTTTAATAAGACAGGAGGGGATGAGCAATCGAGGAGTGTGGAAAGAAAACGGACCTAATGCTCCTTGTTCCTAGAGTAGTGTTGGGGGAGGGTCACCCTAAGATTCGAGCTCCCCAAGCTGCATGCTTCCTGACAGTCCGCTGCCCTTCTGGATGGCAGTCACTGAATTTGGTTTTTCCCAGGGGATTTCATGTGCCTCTCATGCCCAGGAGTGGGAGGTTGATCAGTTCCAACCTGATTTCTTCCTGTCATTCTGAACTGGCGGGAAGCACAGCTCTGCTTGAGTTGGGGTTAAGTAGAGACTTAGAGAAACTTGAGTGAGAGGACAGCCAAAACCTTATCATGATCTGAATTATAATTATTAGGAGACACTCTGGCCAAATGGTTTAATTTCTGCCTCTGGAATTGGGAGTTGGGTGGGCAGGAAAAAGTGATACCCATTCTTTCTGACAACTAGATGGTGCTGAGAAGCTTTTAAATAAAACACTTTGCTAAATGAAAAAAAAAGAATAGATCAGTTCTGATACAATGAAGTCAGAGGTCCAGCATGACCCAATAATACTGACATTGGACCCAGAAGCAGATCAATGGGTAATGCCTGATTGGGAAGATTTTAAATAATCTGGAGGATTTCAGCAAGTCTAGAGAGGAGTATTATGAATTACCATGAGGTACTACAGATGAGTCTACCCTAGGATTCAAATTCAAGCTGTCTGTAAAACTAGTTGGCCAGGAACCTTTTTCCCTGCCTCCAGTTTCTATTTGGAATAGTTGTCATCCATGAAAATTTTATTTTCTGGCAGAAAGGGAAAATGATGGACAGTCTTTAGACTTCTGGAAGACTATAAAAATATATGTGATGCCAATGGTTATATTTAATACTTTGAGGATTTTGGAATTTTATGAGAGGAGACAACCCTGGAAGAGAGGAATGAACCAAGTAGAACCCTAGGTGTAAGCACAGGTAACCTTAGGAGGCCTAGAGTGGAGACAAGTATGTCTGTTGATCCTAACAATTTTAGCAGATGTGTGATATCCACTGGAGGGAAATAAAATGCTCATTTAAGTGTGGATTTTCAAGAGGGTTAAAGACAAATTTGGGGCTCACTATCAAGTAAACTTCTGGTGGTTATACTTGTACCCACATAAAACAAAGCCATATCACATTTATATCCATATAAAATCAACATTTTAATGTGGATCTGAATTTATGATATTTTTACATGGGAAGTCCATCCTCTTTATAACCAAGACCCTAAGGTCCACCATGAGAAGGCTGGTGGGCAGATCTGTCTTATTATGTACAGTACAATGTTGTCTAAAAAGGGCCTTCTTCTATTTGGAGTTATATTAGTTTCCTTTTATTGCTCTAACAAATTGACACTAATTTACTAGCATAGCATAGCATGAACTTAACCTCTCACAGTTCTGGTGGTGAAAAGCCCTAAAATGAAGATGTTGGCAATGCTGTGTTCCTTCTGGAGCATATAGGGAAGAATCTATTTTCTTGCTTTTCCTAGCTTCTGGAAGCCAACTGCATTAGTTGGTTCATGGCCCCTTCCTCCATCCTCAAAGTCTCCATCTTCAAAGCATCTTTGAATCTCTCCTTCCCACCCCATCTCCCTCTGTCTCTCCCCTTTCCTCAGTTCCTCCCTTTCCCTGTGTCTCCCTCTCTGTCCAACCTCTGCTTCATTCCTAACATCTCCTTCTCTGACTGACCTTCCTGCCACCCTATTATAAGGACCCTTATATTGATAGTTATATTAAGGTAACCTGCATAATCTGAAATAATCACCCATCTCAAAATGTTTAATTTAATCACCCTGCAAGTCCATTTTGCAATGTAAGGTAACATATTCACAGGTTCTGATTATTAGGATGTGGACTTTTGGAGGTGAGAGGGACATTATCCTGCCTACAAGAGGGTATATCCCAATATATTTATTAGTTGTGGAAAATTCTTTTTCTTTTATTTATTTTTCTCTCACACTTATTTTCTGAGCATGTACTAGATATGTGGCTTCTAGTGGAAGACACTCATCAAACAGTGAAGGTGCTGTCCCTATAGTCATAAAGCTAAATATCTATTGAGACAATAAAGTGAATTTTGGCCTTCTGGAGTTTTTTTGGGATAGTTAGTGGGTTTCAAAGTGATCTTGTTTATATTTAATTCCTATTTGTTGGTTGTAGTAATAGTATATGATACCACAATTGTTTGTATTTATGATTGCATTTATGACCACCAGGAACATAGCCATAGTGGAACAAATTGAGTTTATTATTTGTTATAGTGAGGGAAAATACACACCATGGGGAGTGTGTACTGTCTCAGTAAGAGGTTATTAGAAATGACAATAAAGGATTTGGGTTTTGGTTAGGAAGTCTTGGAGAAAATCTAAGGAAATGGAGACTCAAGATTAAGTGCTATCTATAAGTCAGGATAATTCTATGATTGGGTGTCTCAAATATTTTATCTATAAGGAGTGTGCACTGGAGTAGGAATAAAGTTGTAATATACAAAAAAGCATTGGTCATTCTTATTAGCCTAGCGATGGAAATGTTTGATGTTCTGTGGATGATACAGTGACCTTGTTAATCTCACTTACTCATGGTCTCAGAGTCACCTTCTCTGATGTTGGTGTTCTGTGAGGCTGTTTATGTCTAACAAGAGAACAACATAGCCCAGGAATGAGCCTCTGGTCAGCTTGTAATAATATGGAGGCCTAGTACTTTGTAGTTTCCAGATGCTAGACTCCTGGTGTTTTTTGTCTCTTGTCTGTTTGTGGCACTTGTTAAACATGCAAAATTCAAGATCCACTCCCCAATAACTGCATCAGAATCATTGAGGTTTGATTTGACCAGCTGATTCTTTTACACACTTAAAGGCTCAAAATCTCTCTATTAGAAAAAGCAAAAGATTCATATATTTATCACTGTTAAATACTTATATGCTTGTGATTGTTGTCTTTAATAATGATTATTTGAATTTTAATTTTTTTCATTTATAATTCACAAACTATGATTAAGCTTGATTTATGCATGACCCTTTGTTAGCTATTCCTTGAGATCGGCTGAGCTGCCTCTTAATTAAAAAACAAAAAACATTTTTGAAAAGTTTTAAACTAGGCACTGATGATGCTTGTATGGTTTTAACATTTGTAGTTTAGTTTTAATTTTCACAATCTGCTCTCATGTTGACTGGGTATCACTGAAATCAGCACTGCAAGGTGCAGCAGGACTGAGTGACTGTTCCTGTTTTGGTTCTGAATGAACACTTTACCATCATCTCTCTGCATCCATCTACCTGTTGACAAGCTTTCCTATGTGCTTTAAAACCACAAACCACATAAGCCTTACAACCTCATTCTGATGAGCATGCCCTTTAAAAGATAAGCAAAAGGTGTTTTCCTAGTCAACGTGAAGAATGCAGGGTTTACAGGAGGGAATCTCTGTCTTTAAAACTCATGCCTTAATTTCTTTCTTTCCCTTTTTTTGGCAGCAATGTAAACATGCAGAACAGGAAGACAAAGTTAAACTTAAAAGCAAATGTACCCTCTTGAGTACAACCTAACCCAATTATTAATATTAACATTTTAAAAAATGACTCTAGCCCTGGCCTGTTGGCTCAGTCAGTTGGAGCACTGTCCCTACATCAAAAGGCTGCAGGTTTGATTTCCAGTCAGGGCACATACCTAGGTTGCGGGTTCAGTCCCTCATTGGGGTGTGTATAGGAGATAACCAATTGATGTTTCTCTTATATTGATGTTTCTCTCTTGCCCTCCCTCTATTTCTAAAATCAATAGACATATTAAAAATTTTTAATAAAATAAAAGATGTCTCCATTTCCTCAAAATCATTTTTTCTGAAGCAGTAATAATTTCAGCATCATGCTTAAACTACATTTATATGTTTATAGGTAATTTTAGGTAAATGAATGTTCACACAGAGCATGCTAAAGCTCAACATAAATTAAGGAAGATAAGATGGTTAGATATATAAAGTGTGTATTTAGCCAAAATTTGTTGCAACTTGTAATTCCAGAAGAAAATCAGAATGTAATAGGCATTCTAGAAGAGTGATAGTAAACAATTGCCACTTTCCATACCACTGTTTTTCAAATATTCCCAGCAAAGGACCAGTATTTTTACTTGTTTGTTCTTTCACTTTTTTAAACATAATTATCAATTTACCACAGATGGATACTTTTTAGTAGAGTAGGTGGGGATGGCTAGGGTGGGGGGAGTGGTGGGAGGAAAATGGAGACAACTGTACTTGAACAACAACAGAAATTAAATTAAATTAAAAAATAAAAATAATCTAAAAGAAATGCATAGGAATTACAAACCTGTCCCTAAATTATTATTGGATTCAATAAGCATACAAGTACTCTGTCAGATTGCTATAAAAATTTCTAAAGGTTTTGTCCCAAGTTCTATACTTACTTCATTGTGGACCAGTAAAAAAAGAAAACACATTCAAAGATCTCCACATTTTGAATGGTACTGTCTGATATCATATTTAAGTACTAGGTTTTTCATGTTTGTAGCATCAGAATTTATTAGAGCTATAAGGGTGCTAAGAAATATAACTCCAAGTTTTTATTTATTTATTTGTCTGTTTCTTTGTTTATTGCCTTCATACACTGAGGTTACACAGCCAGCAGTGATGTTAACAAACTTGAATTTGT